ATCAGTTCTATGGATTCTTGACAGTTCGATCCGATTCTTTGGAGTGTAATCATTTTGGACTGTGTTATCGAAAATTTGGAATGATAACACAAATGTATCTGTGCTTTATCTGTTTTTATATGTTGATAGCATTATATTTTCATCATTGTCTCTATCAACATGTTGCAACAACAAGATTGATCCTCATCAGATTTCGACCAACTAGGTTAAAGTCAACAGCCAATAACGAATAACACATATATAGGCCGTCTTAATCAATCGTCTCGATCGAATAAGGTACATATTTATGAAATCTATGCATTTTCAAATATAGGACCTCTAGAGTGCATTCGTCTGAAAACGATCCAAACAAGACTGGACCTGATATGGTTCAGGCAAGATATCGTACGTTCACAAGGGTATGGTTTAAGTATACTAATTGAGGCTTGGTTTCTGGATAAAAATCTAGCTAACATGTCAAATTATATTTGACACGATGAAAACGATCTGTAAAAATTTTAACACTACAGATTGTTCTGTCAAGTGATGTTATTTATCTTTATAAGCGTTCTCTTCCCATACAGTTGTGATAGTTCAGTTGATAAACTAGTGTAAGATGAACTTCTTTGTGAAGATTTCGACAGCAGCTGTTATCAGGTGAAAATTTGAGTAACATAAGAATAAATACTTACAAATAAATCTCAAATATCAAACGAAAGGTTTTCTGCACTAAGTAATATTTCAGCTATTACGGTAATTTGTTTTCTTAAACATCAAAGCAATACAATGGAAAAGCAGGTCCTGATTTCCCATACTCTATATGATCAGTCAGTCAGCAACCTAGAACTTCACACATACGTACATCAGTTCAAGTAGCTATTCCACATTAGCACACACAAATCGACTTGTCAATTCAAATCCCATAGTAGTAGATGTAGTAGCAGTATTAGCGGTAATCGAAAAGACTAGGGAGCGAAGATATGACCCACTTGCCAGTGACTGCATGGATTTGTGGCAGGATACTCAAGCAATGCTTCGGAGACACCTATGATCGAAAACCAGTAACATACGAATATCATATACTCTTACCGACCACGTTTCACGGCCACAAAGTAGGACGTAGTGAACTGCTGCCCAGTACATTCGTCCTTTGGTTAGCCAATCGAGTCTTCTGTATCCGTGCTGAGATTTCGTCACACACCAGGCCATCAGCACTGATGAGGCTCCCCAGATAAGTGAGACGATCAACTGCGTCACTCCCTATCACTAGTTCAAGTGCCGACACAAGCCAATCTTGAAGTAACATTTTGCATTTCGAGGGGGAGAACCGCATCCCGAACATGCCTGCACTGTTGCTCTCGGTAATCAGAAGACTGTATTTTGTCAGCGTCTTCACCGAATAGAACTATGTCATAGGCGTATTCTAAGTCGATAAGTGAATTTCCTGAAAGGTGTACTCCTGAAAATTCATATGATGAAGGTGTCGTATCAGAAATCATATCAACGATAAAATTCAACAAGAATAGAGAAAGTAGACAGCCCTGACGAAAACCAGTTGAAGTAAAAAATCCCGATGACAGTTCGCCATAAACTCTAACTCGCCCGGTAGTGAACGAGTAGAGAGCATGTGAAGTCAATATACTTTTATGGTACTCCTTTCATTGACAAACACTGCCCCTTGAGGTCATCTGAACGAGTCTATGTACCAGAACCTGACGAAGAGTGAATATACGGACTGAGACTGTAACGGAGTTAAAATCACTATGTATGATGTTGCTGACCCGTTCTGTTTTCTTTATATTGCAGGGCGATCAAGCATAGACGCTTCGGGAGCTGAAGAACAAGCTCTGAACTTACAGGATGACTCATAAGACTTTGATCAACAAGCAATCCCTTTTCTGTAAAAAACCCGCGTTATTTAAATTTAAAATAAGGAGTGCCGCCCTTCAGTGACTGCTGATTACACGTGTTACAAAACCAACCTGGTTTTCTCTAGGCCTAGTCAGGCGTCGGACTATACCTGTAAAACTGATCCCTCTGTGATTGTCACGAGGGGACTTGCTTATATACTGTGACATAAAGCCGTTTGAATCTGTCAGATGAGATTACGTCCGGTTGCTAGATTCTACCCAGGATTTCAGTCAATCTAACTGCTAAAACTGGATGACCATCCTTAAAATATCGGGTAATCCATCAAGGCCTGCTGCTCTCACGCTTTAAAGTTCTTACAACTTTTTTAACTTCATAATGGATATCCAACAGCTTCCTGTGAAATTCATCCTTTACCTCATCTGAGCTGAAATCAGTGGGAGGGTGCATAAGTTAAGACAAAGAGGCAACGGCGAGTCCCGCGATCTTTCCGAGTCCTTACAGTCCCGTTTAGTCGCACATTGCACAAGCTAGTCCACTGGGATCCGGTCTAAGAGAGCTAGTTCTGCTCTAGGACTCAAAGCTATATCTACAACAGCGAGACCACGGGCAGCGGCATCAGGGCTTCTACATAGACGCAGTGCAAACCAAACTGACTCTTTATCTAGCCAAGGCGAAGTTAATGGTCCAGAATGCGCGTTTTGGAGTCGCGACATACATCGACGGCACAGGATTCTAGAGGAAACGTTTTTTCCTATTTGACACAAGGTTCGAACAATAAAATCTCCAACATGTAGTTTAGAGCGGGGTTTCTGGAGACTAGGAATAACGTTTCAGGAACTCGAAAAATTTGCATCAGAAACGCGAGGTGACAAAGGAATGAAAGAAGGTTTGATCGTGGAGACAAGAGAGTTACTAAGAAGTGTAGGGAGGATTTGATTGACTAATTTGGTTCATGTGCTGTTATGGGTATGAGTGCGTGTGTCGCTTCCCGGCTGAACACATCGTGGAAGGGTTCCTTTTGAAGAACCTGAAGAGGAAATCGGATTAAAGTTGGTCTGAGCAACTTAGGAGCGTGACCACAAAGCCCAAGGGAAAACTGCTTGAGGTCGGTCACGCATGGCCTATTTATGGCAAGTTTGTACAGAGTTAGCTCCGCTCTTCAAACGGCATTACCTCCGGAAACGGAAATTCGTGAGGTAAGGTGACGTATGACATTGTTAAGGTCGACCTTTTCTAACCTCTCCCTTTCTTGTGAGAAGGCAGCATCACTACAGATGCTGGTTGTCCGAGGCAAACACCCTACTTCTGTCAAAACCCTCTGCAGTCAGCGGTACGACTCCGCCCTCAGACCACTTCATCTATTGATCTGCCATCCTTACCTAGTACTCGTTTCCTAACGACAGCATTGCTTACTCGGCTGTCCCACGATATACGAGCAATGCTTCTTAAACATCTATGATCGAATACTAGTAACCTACGAACATCTACTCTTAACGGCCATGTTTCACAGCCATATAAGAGAACGGAACGAACTGCTGCGCAGTACCAGACCGCAGTCACCAGACCGTTAGCACTGATGAGACTCCCCAGATAAGTGAAGTGATCAACACGCTCGACTACTTCACTCCCTATCACTAGTTCAGGTGCCGATGCAACCCAGTCTTGAAGCAACATTTTGCATTTCGAGGGGGAAAACCGCATCCCGAACATGCTCGCATTGTTGCTTATGGTAGTCAGAAGACTCCGCATTTTGTCAGCGTCTTCACCGAATAGAACTATGTCATCGGCATATTCTAGATCAGTAAGCGACTTTCCTGGTAGAAGGTCAACCCCTGGAAAATCTGACGAGCTTAATGTTAACTCTAAGAGGATGTCTACGACAAAGTTGAACAAGAATGGAGAGAGTGGACAGCCCTGACGGACACCACTTGATGTAGAGAATTCAGATGACAGTTCGCCATATGCTCTCACCCGACCAGTGGTGTTCGAGTAGAGAGCTTGTATAAGGTTAATGTACTTCTTTGGTACACCTTTCAATGACAGACACTGCCACAGAACCTCACGATCCACTGAGTCGAATGCCGCCTTAAGGTCCAGGAACACGACTATTGTCGGACGTCTAAATGTGTGTCTGTGTTCCAGGACCTGTCGTAATGTGAAGATGTGGTCTATACAACCACGTCCAGGTCGAAAACCAGCCTGGTTTTCTCGAGTCTGCTCTTCACGAGCTCTAGTTAGACGTCTAAGTATAATCGAGGCTAACAATTTAGAAACTATATTAGTTAAACTGATTCCCCTGTGATTGTCACAAGAGGACTTCTGTCCTTTCTTGTAGATTGGGACAATTAGCGACTGAGACCAGTCAGATGGGATTACGTCCATTTCCCAGATTCTACCTAGGATCTCGGTCAGTCTAACCGTTAAAACTGGGCCACCATCCTTGAACATCTCAGGGGTAAGCCTATCAGGACCTGCCGCTCTACCTCCCCTTAGATTTCCTATAGCTTTCTCAACTTCATGTAAACTGGGAGGACTTGAATCGATTTGCCATTCAGAATGACTGGTGATCGTGGGCAACCGAAGTGTGGCTGAAGGCCAGTTGAACTGATCCCTAAAGTGTTCTGCCCATCGGTCCAGCCTCCTAGATTGAGAATGGATAATAAGACCATCCTTTTCCGAGATAGTCTCACTCACATTCGGGTTCCTAATACCGGTTTCTTTAATAAGGCGGAAAAGTTGTCTAGTGTTGCCGATCGCCGCTGCCTTTTCCATCGCTTTTGCTTTCGCCACCCACCACTGTCCACGGTCGTTACGTAGGCTTTTTATAAGTCTGCGCCTAAGCTGACTACGCTCTTCATCATGTTCAGAGTCAGGTGGGATGCGTTTTCGAGCATCCATCAGTTCGGTGGATGCGACTGAAATCCACTGCTTCATCCTAGCCTTGTGGTTTACCTTACTAGCAGATACCATTGCTGTTTCCACAGCCTTCTTGATATGATTCCAACCTGCTTCAGGATGGGAATCACTCTCATGGCCACCTAACTGTTTTTCTAGTTCCTCCTGAAATATTTTCTTAGCTTGATTATCATCAAGTAAAGCCCTAGGAGGCTTCCTTACGGTGTCTTTATGGTAGGACCTACAAGAACATATGTTTCAAACATCTATATTTGAAGATATATAATGACAAACTACACACGAATCTAACTTTTCAAACTATACAGTATAGAAACCAGTTATCAAAGAATTAAAAAAGTGATCTGTAGACTGACATTCACAACTCAATCTCTTAAATATGAAGGAAAATAAGCTATGAAAACAAATGTAGATCTCCATCACATTCATGAATTAGGGCTCGGACTCAAAACACAATAAACAGAGGTTTTAAGGTTGACGGTTTCTGAGATTTAATTCTGTGCGGCGACATAAGCGAGATCAAAAGACCCAATAAACTTGTAACCCTTAGCTACTGATATGGTACGAGTTACAACGATTGATTATTTTAGTTTCGAAAGAGCGTAAATTTTGATTGTCTAGTCCACCCATTTACTAAATTACGAGAGAATAAAAACTTTCGTTCAGATGAATGTATGCAAAAATACAAATTGTGAGAAGTAGAAGAGAAATTGTAGTGATTATTGTACAAAATAGGAGCAAAGTGGACCGGAAATGTGGTGATAAAACTCAGCTTATGCCAAGGGGTTATCTCGGTCAGTTAAAGTTAGTTCATTTTCTTCAATAGATGTAAAGTTCAAAAAGTGAGAAGGTCTGTGAACCCGATGATAAAATTTCTTCGGTTTGAGAGGTTGTAATTCGTACTTCATATTAGGATCATGACGCACACCTGTTAAATGAATAGAAATTGAAAGAATATCGATAAGATTAATTTAAAACATCCAATTAATTCACTTGCTAATTACTTGGGTATGAACCACACTTTAAGATGATACCGCCTAGTTGCCCAAGTCGAAGGTAGAGCGGGGTTCGAAACCAAGGCTTTTTAGCTGAACGTCGAACGCTTTAACCAACAGGCAACCGCTTCACATAAGATAAATATACTAATCAAAGTTTGATCTTAAAATATCATTTGATCGAAAATACTCAATGATGCATATAACAATGAAATTTAGTAACATTCAAAAACCGTTTATAACCTACCCATGAAGTTGTAGTTCCATGATGTCTGCGGTGGCACCATAAAGAAACCCAAAAATCTATCTGATAGTAACATTTGTACTCTTTCATAATGACTTGGCATATAACCCTTCGGATTGTTACCTTTGTCTGTATTTTGCCTACCCCATTCATAGCCGCCAGGAGTTAGTTTATGTGCACAAAGTGAAACTGAACCTGGCGTGAAGCTACATGTTATGACGATGGTCTTTTCTCCATCTTGATCAGAGAAGATCTTTGCATGGGTTGTAATATCCTATGCAAAAAACAGTAATTAAAGGGGCTGTGAGAATCTAGCATTACACAAGAGCTCAAATCAGCACTTATGAACATAGTCAAATAAATCCTGGAAGAATTATTATAAGTAAAAATAGAGGGACATTAGACATGCTTTTTAAAGTAGTGTTACCCAAACTATGTACAACTTCATCATTCTTATACATCAACACAATTTTGAACACTGTTAGATTGAGAATTGTTCTCAAGTAATACTCAAATACTAAATAAAGCTTACTTGAGGAGATAACTGTGGCAATTCATTTGGTTGAGTGTGAATCCAACCGAGCGGTTCCATTTCTTTTAGATATTCATCTTGTGGTAGTCCATTAGGTAAATGAACAGTTTGATGAGTACCCCATTGTGGTGGCATTACAATGCACCGAATTTCTTTAATTTGGGAATTATCAGCGGGTGAAATACCATAAAGGTAACCTGCAATCTAAAAGAAATTGGAGAAATCCAATTAATCTGAATGAACTAAATGCATAATCTTGTTCCGTAAAAGTCTCAAAAATGGAAACTTACTTGAGTTCGTAAATCTGATATGGTTATAAATTTCTTTAAAATATTTTTAGGTAAAATATACGTGTAGCCATTTTCTTTAATATCATCCGAACTGACATAGATATTGTTTGTTCGAAGGTACAAATTCGTTGCTGAGATTGCACGGACGCGCCATTCTGTTTTACTGCTGAAATGCAGAGTTTCATAATTTGATGTTGTTGTTGAAATAATTTCATCACCATGTTTGTTCACTGTTCTTGTTGTGGTCGCCGTAAGTTGAGATTGTTCTTTGGCCTGTTTTTCTATTTCGGCTATTTGCTGACGTTGCTGTGATGGGGCAGAAATCTCCATACCCAAAATAATATCTCGTATCTCTGACTGAGTTAAGGAAGCCACATTAACACTGAAAAACGAAGTAAAGTTTTTTATTATAAAATTTTAGTCTATTTAAGTCTAGGTCTACAATGTATTATTACATATGATAACGATAGTGATTTTAATCTTGAATGTGGAGCTAAATGATCCCACTGTGCTTACAAATTTGAGGGGAAATTTCTTAGATACACTTTAGGGGAATTTATAGGTCAATTAATATGTTCTGACCACGTACGTCAGAAAAATGGTATATACATGATAGGGAGTTTAGTGATAAATGCAAAACGCAACGCTACCAGTTCATGGTCAAATTTAGTACCACGTAATGCAAAATGGTTATTAACAAACTGCTCTAAGTGGTCATTTTACTATTATTTCATGTGTAACTGATTCACAACACTGTCAAATAGGCTCACTGAACGAAGTAATGAGTTTTATGATTTATTTCCGACCGTCAGAAACTACAGACTAATTTAACGGATCCAGCTGATCAATAAACCAAATCACGTTATTTTTTACTGTTATGCCGTGTGAATATTATAACTCGTAACCATTCAACCAATATCTATCATCTTGAAATTATTATGCTCAATCATAAAATGATTTTTAGCCCCGAACTGCTGTAGAAAACGATCAGAAAAACTTCTTATGTCAGTAGTTTGACTAAGAATAGTTAATAATAAAAACTTACTTGTTTTTCTTTCCGTAGTCAGCCAAAATGAGGTCTTTTAGTTGATATTCAACTTTGATCCAATCATCTGAACTAAGGGATGGCCAAATATGATGGGGTTCAGTGATTGTTGTTTTGTCTGGTTTAAGCACAATTTTAGCTTTATCATTATTGACATGTAAAGCTCGTAAAATTAAAATCAGACGAGAAAACGCTGTGTAAGAGCTAATGGATTTTAGCCAATCATCATATAAATTAAATAGGACCATTTGTGGCTCTGATGCTTTCAGTATAAGATCTCCAAACTTTTCGACCTTTAGGCATGCTTGGAAAGGCAGTTGGAGCTCAGAACCCTGTAATATGAAAAAGTCTTTTTCAACAAGAGGAATAAATTCAGCATCTATTATCAATGAAAATGACCATAGCCAATGAGTAGAGAAATTTAACTGCTAATCTCCAGTTATTTTTAATTTGCTGGGTAACCATAAACTGTATAATAAATACGCACTATGCTAAAAACGAGACTAAGACACGTTGTGGTAAATGATTACCCAATAGTCAGGTGAAAGTGAAATCCCGGAAACAATTTGAGAATACAGAGATGCAAGTCCATACAATACATGAACATCAACGTCTTAAAAAAGGTAATATAAATCATTGTAAATATAAACTCTAGCATATGTTTAGATGAGATGATTAAAAATTCTGTGTTAAATTTAACAACTTAAAAAATAAAAGAAACTGATACGTATTACGAGTAAAAAAACTAAAATGCAAGCTGTTTATCGTCAATAACTAACTTTCTAAAAAATTAGCAACTTCAAATACAAAATAGTTAGAACTATTCATTATGAAATGATTAGATGATGGTTTGTATAAAATCCTGGAAGAACAACTTCGATACCACTGACCGATAATCCATAGACAACGTGGATAGGTGGTATTTTAAGTCAATACATAGTAGGAAATAAATAACATTTTAGTTGACTATGACAACAGGAAAAACGTTATACATACTACTGTAATCTGATCTTATGAGTTCAAAATATTGCAAACGTTTTTGTACACTCGAACTATACCTTTATAACAATATTAGGGAAATCAAGAAGATGCACTTCCAGAGGGTCCAACATTCCTTTGCGGGTAACAATGATTTGTTTTGGTTGTTCTTCAACTGGCAAAGAACGGATAAGTGCAGCAACTTCTTCGGCTGTTTTCCATTTAGCCAACTGACCTAAACGTTTTTGTCCTGCCCAAACTGAAGTGTGGATTATTTTTAAGAAAAGCTGCCCTGTGCGTGGATTGAAAATGAATATGGCACCATTGATAGGCTTAGTCGTAAGATTGCCTTCGAAAGTCTAAAAAATATATTAGTTTCACATTTAGAGAATAAAAGACAATTGGCGCTTACAAGTTACGTTTTCAATAATTGATTTTATCAGTAAAACATGATAGAACTAGTGTCCTATGTTGATGAATAGTCACAAAAATAACATGAAAACTATAGTGAATTAAAAACCTGGTTTATGTTTGGTATGTTAGTGAATAAATCAACAATTACTTGACATTTATATGAAGTGCGTTGTAGCAGTTTTCAAACTGAAACTGATCAAATGTATTTTCTAAAAAATTTGTACACATAGAATATCCAGAAACTTTTATGTACTGGTAAGAAAGAACCACAATCTGTCCATCACTACTGTTATCGTTATTATTATTATTATCCAGAAGCTATAATACCTGAGAAAGCTTAGACTTGAATATAATAACAACAATTGAACAAAAGCTTTTTTCAACTACCTATAGGATACGTATGCTCTAAGAAAGCTATAAAACGCATGACTAAATGATTTGAACTTATTTTACGAGAAGTGAAACCGAAGACTTTAATTAAGGGTAGATGAAAATCGCAGATACATGATTTAATACGATTTAATTACAACTTACTTTATGTATAGTAACGCGATATACATTTGTATCATCAACGAACCATATAATTTGGTTGGAGAACAATTCGTTATAGTTTTGTGAACTCAAATAGGGTTCAGTAGGTTCGCTAGAGTATAATTGTAGTGCTTTACGAATACGTTCACGTAACACATATAAAGCAGGGTTTGCCTTCATTATTTTGACCATAGCTTGTTGTATGAGTGGTTTACAGCCAGGAAACCAATTTCCGTATGCACTAAAAAGGATTAGTTAAGTGATAAGGAAGATATAAAGTTATCAAAGAGAACTATCATTATTATTATTATTTTAGTGAGAAAACGATTTATGTTTTGCAATCACAAAAAGGACTTCGGAAATCAAAATTTCCATTCAATTTAAGGGATGTTGAATAAATGTACCACTAATTTATTAGGATCGGATTAGTCAACCATGTGAACACAGATCACGACAAATGTGATGTTATGGGCATAATGCTTCAGCGTGATACATTACTTACGTTAGTTGGAACGTTTAAGGAGGAAATAATGAAGAAGTGATTTACGGATGAAATATGCAACAAACACTCGTCTATATATGTACACGTATACTAGTTTTTCTGTCATTAGTGCACATAAGATTGATATAATCACGACTACGTTTGAGAAATGTAAAGTATAAACAATAATATCAACTGAAGGTTAACTTCTGGGAACGTTTTAAATCTCATCGGGAAACCACAAGAAATAGATCACTTTTTCAACCAATTAAACGAAAAAATAATGGTGGTAACCGAGTGTGGAAGAAACATTAGGCTTATAGATAACAGCTTAAGTAATCATGTCAAACTAATCAATACTGACCTGTGCAAATTATAAGCGAGGTCAATCGCAATCATGACACCAGTTGGAGAAGGGTATATAGACATGTTATCAGTTGTATAATCCAGAAATTTCGCTCTGGCGTAACGTTCAATATCGTGCGAATCATAATCACCCCATCTAAGTTGAATATCAATCCAAAACTTCTGAGTGGTAGTCCCATCCATAAGGTCTCTGTAAAGGTAGGGTATAAGAAAGAACTGCAATGCTTTCAATGTAAAAAATCTTTTAATTTCAAAACCAGATTACTTTCGAAAGTATAAACAACCTTGAAATAGAATATCAGACTGTGCATTATTTCTAATAACACCTGTCATATCAAACCACACACATCTGTAGTGCAGTAAACACATTTTAAATGTTTTATTTTTCCTTATGTATGATGTAAGGGTATGGTAAGTGTATTCCGTATTATTCCTTTTTAACGCTAATCCTAATCTTATTGTTTGTGATACTTTTCATCTAAGGATACTAATAAACTGGTTATATATATAGGTTATTGGACTGTCAGTTAGTTTGACTACGTTAGTGTGTTTAAAGTCAGACTACCAATCAGGACAACACTGCATTAGGATGTCGTTTGCCTTCGGTACGAAACAAGATCTACAATTATGCGCCTCATTTTTTCTCTGATGTTAACTCGTACATGCTCGCATGTTTTGTAAATGGATAAAATTACATTGCAAGCAACTAGAGGAACCAGCATGCTATATACGTTGTTTGGAAAATCCGAGTTCCGCCTGAGTTCATGTTACTAGGCACAATTACAAATTTACGAATACCTTTTCATTGATATTAAACGTCAAGTCACACCATAAAGATAACTAAAAGTACACATTTAACAAAGTCTTCGAAATAATAGACATCAGTAATAAATGATGAAAGAACGTAACAGGACCTTTTTCATATAGTTATTAACAGCTAGGAAAATAATATATACTGCCCTTTGAGGTACAATTAGCATATCATAGATTGAGTATATATAGCATAGTAAACTATTTATGAGGAATCCAGGTAATAAACAAGATAATATCTCAAAAGATGCTTCAACCGTAGATATTAAGTATCGTTACTTGTTGGTTGAATCAGATCAAAAAGGTTGATAAAAGCTATGTATTGATGTGTATGAGTTACATGTATCAAACAAGAATGGTGTATACTGAGGAACTGCTAGCTTACTTTGAATCAGCCAACAGACTTGGTCTAGATACAGGCCACTTGTAGGAGGCAAATAAAAGAATATCTGCACAGCTGGAATTCATTTTATACGATTTTCGAGGATGGATAGTTTCCTTTTGGACAGTTTCGATTTCCAGAGCGTCAAGTTCCTGATCAAACACCTGACAAATATCCATAACTACAGATTCATGAATCTTTTGCCACAAGTGAGCTCGGAATATTTGGATGAGCGAGATCTTCAGGGTTGGAATTTTGCCGTGCATAAAAATACCAGTTAAATCAAGTTGTACTTGGAAACCGACATAAACCTACGATAAAGATCATAAAACATCAAGGTAGGTGGGAAATTAATAAAATGCTAAAAATAATGTGGGGTAGTTATAGATCAAAGCATTGGGTTAGAATCGTTCAGATTAATGCACTTTACAAAAACTGAACACTACGTCGAGACTCATGTAGCATGACGCAACAACATATTAAATTCAAATCTAGATTAATCAGCAAAAATATTGTATAATCCTGAATATGTAATTAATAAAGACGACTTATTAATGCATTTAAGCTATGATAACTATTAAAACTTTTAGATGTATTTACTGCTAAGTTGAATAGAGCGGTGTTATTATAAAACTTGCACTGGTAATTCGAGAACTTACATTAGCCCGATTGATAGTTGGAGACCACCATAATGTAAAGCGTCGATTAGGTATTTGATTCAACCCGGATCGTTGGGCATTAGTCAACTTCTTGTACTTCATTGATTCTTCAAAACCACTAGCTTTCTCCCTGAAATTATAAGATATTTATATACTGAAGTGCCACAAAAAATGACTGCACCAATTAGTGTGTTTTTTAGATAATTTTAGATAATTTAACGAGTTTATTTTGATACCAACCAATTTCACTTAATCTCCTCTATCCCCTTTAATGGATGTCACAAAAACATCTTAATTGTCTTACTCTATTCACAATATAATTTAGTGCTAACTAGTTTTTAATTTTACAAGCTTTATTCGTTGGGAAGAGATCTCTTCGCTAAACTTCCTGTTGTTAATGTTTAGATGAGAATTATATGTCAACCATACATTTGAATAAAACAGAGGTTTAGGTAAAACGTGTGGTGTTGAGAAAAAATAAGTTACATATGCTAGTCAAACTACAAAATAGAGTAGCTAAGACTTACCAGAAAAGACCTTCCCATGTAGGGAAATAGGTCCCTTTAAATAACGTGTGTTCCAGGATGCCTTCAACACCACCTAAAGCCTGGATCATATCGGTACGATAGTTGTTCAAATTCCATAACTTTCCATCGTGTCTTTGATGAGTCCACCAAAATGGATTTTGCTTAAGAACTTGATATTGTTTGAATTCAGTGCGTACACGCCATCCCTTATCGTAAGCCAGTGTATGTCTGTCTTTTTGGAAAAGAGTATTAATCCGGGGAATACCACGATCCCAACTATCCTCTAGATCCTCCAGCGTTAAACGTCTAAAAATTATTCATATGATCAAAATTTAAAAATATGAAAATCACGCACAGTAAGTCGTGCTTATTTGATAAAGCCAACAGAACAAAATCAGAAAATTTGTACCCGATTTAAGTGAAAACAATTGAATTAATTTGAAGGATATTTATTTTCATCTAAAATAGCCTTATCAATGTTTACTATAAAAAGCCCTACACAATTGTAGTTTTCCGTCAGCTGACATTTTGAAAAAGCTTGGTAATATACTTAGATTAACAATTCATCACAAATACACTTACATCTAATGTATACTTCAGTTCATACCATGGCAAAGGTTAGTAAAGAAAGTTTCTTTCTCAATTCTTTATGATTCAACTCTGAGGGAGTGTACAGACAACGATGTGTACACATCTTTTCAGGATTTAACTGTCGAATACACACTATATTAACGAGTCTTTTCATCTGGCGCACACTTAAGCTTCTGTAGTGGGAATATTTAAATTTAGTTCAATACCAACAAATCAATTTATAGCTTCTGTCTGATATGCTTGGACAAGCTTGTGAATACAAATACATATTTTCGTACTACAATTAATATTTTTCTAAACACAACTTATATTTCGAACACTTACCTATTTTGAGCGTTTGCTTCCTGCCGTTTTAATGCATATTCAGCCCAAACACTCTGGGAATCGCGAAACTCCGTCTCCCATGACAAGATGTAAGAGAACAAATTCGGAATAACCTGGTCCTCGTCATGACTCATACCTGAACGAAAGTGAGTAATGCCGACGTCGGTTTGTTTTGACCAGCGTAAATCAGATTGTGGAATAAGAACGTGACCCATACTGAGCATGCCTAAACCACCAAGTTCCTGAGGGAAAAAAGTAGAAGTAGGTTAGGAAAAACGAGTATCTCATCATCTTGTAAATAATTATGGTTTATTTTCGAGAGGCGATGAAATTTTTACAAACTCACTTTCGGTGTATAAAAAACTACTGGCGGAAAACGAGCAGGCATTTTTGAGTTTAATCCAATTTTGATACGTGTTTGTATTTTATTTTCGCATTTCACCAACAGATCCAACAATGCGACAGTGCTTACTGCTGCCTCGCGATAGTAAGTCATCAAACCAATCAAAGCGGTATTCCACTTATTCACTATTTTTGTGAAAGTCGTCGATCCAGATGCCATCAAAATTTGTCTGACTCTGTTATGGAATCGTTGCATTGATTCATCATCCACTCGAAGGAAACATTGTGCAGTACGCTCTTTGGTTATCTAAGAAAGAAAATATAAGGATTTTAGTTCATGAAATGAACAAAAGCCTGTAAACATCATGTTGGGGACGTTAGATTTACAGAACTCCCTCGATGAATGTCTTAATTTGGATTGTATTCATGGGCTGACCAGTTGACCTTGAGATCACATTTCTCACCAGGAAAAGCCTTGGCTGTGATTGGTTACTGTGTTATTTTAGTGTGCTACTTTTGTGACTCTCCCAAGGACGTTTATATGATGTATAAATAAACGCGATTTATGTGCTTCAGATCACTGTGCTTGCGGGGTGTTTGTAGAATATACTTTCTACGCCATAGCAGGACTTTTCGTTAGTCAACGGATCAGGGTAGCCTACCTGGATTTTGATTCGTTCTCTCGTTCTCGTTTATCGACTAAGGTGAACCCGTAATAGTTTTAAGCATACCTAGTGACGAGCATAACACATCAGTAATAGTGAAAGTATACTTTCTAGCAATAAAAAAGAATACCTCGTTTTGTAGATGCCATACGCCACTTGGGAGATTAGCATCTGCAGCCTGACCGGGTGAACGACAAGATGGTAGGATACGACATTCAAATCCACACATTGCGAAAAGTAAATTAGGATTATCTTTGCTATAAACGGAGACAAAACTGCTGTCCCAATCAATTGTTGTAACAGATCTCGGCAAACGGTTTTTGATATCCCAAAAGACGGCACGACCAAGATTGACATCATGTTTCATCAGGCGCATTCTACTGTCACGTGGCCAACACTTTTTATTGTTGTAACCAACAATATTTTCGTTATTTGGATCAGGATGCTCTGTTAGGTAACGTTGAATGAGATCACGAGCGTCTTCCGCCGAGAAACGGAAGAACATCCAGAAACGATCTACATATCGACAATATAGTCGGATAGGATGCGAGATTTCTGTGGCAGTATCCTATAAAAAGTAGCATAAACAAAAAAAGCCTTAAGTTTATCTATTTTACATAGTCCTACTAAATATAAACAGAAAGCAGTTACGTTGTCCTACCTGGAACTGAAGGAAGTCGTTTGGCATTTGCGGGGGACCACACATTTCAGCTGCTCTTTCGAGACCCAAAACTAGCAAGTCCAGTACAAGACCATAATACTGCGTAATAAAGGATGAAAACTGCAGACCGCGGATAATTCCGTAACTGTTTGTGTGATTCATGTCCTTGTAATTTATTACGACGTTATTTTTAGCAGTCATATAGTCCGCAATATTGTGATCGACAATTAGTCTCAAGAGACGATTGAGCAACGTAAGGTCAATTTTTTCATAAACTTTTTCAAATTTCGTTTCCAACAAAACGTTGCATTCACCCTCACTAGTCTCCCAAACATCCTGCAAATTACGAAAAAAAATGTTTCATTAAAATTGAGTAACTATGAGGGAAGTATTAATTAACCAGACAAGAACTTAAAAAACTGACTATATGGAATTCGAATGAACCTAATGAAAGATATGCATATTTATAAGGCATATGATTTACAAATGAAATCCCCTCGAAATTCTTGCACAACTGAAGCTACAACTCCCTTTATAAAAGCAACTAGATTTTAACATAGCTTTGTTGGCTGACAGTAGATATTTCATTAAAGACAGTTTTACACTGTTTATATTACTTTGTAACTATAGACTAGTTTAGACAATGAGTATTTGAAAATAATACGTTGTTTTAGGAGAACTAACAACTCAGTGCGATGTCAAACTTACCTTCAAGTTGTTAATACCCTGACACCACTTGTATACAAGTAAAGGAGGAGGTTCCAAGTCAGCTGGTTTGATCCATGGAGGAAAAAGACGACGTTTATCAGCTTCATACCATAAATACTGATCCAAGTAAGCATCTGTTATCTTCTCCAAAGGTTCAACATCATAAACAGGCACCAAATGACTGTAAAGATCCATGAATTCGATTCCAACTTCTTTAAAAGCCCTTTGAGTAAGTAAATGTCGCTTGATACGACTAAGAGCTTCATGTGGATTATCATATGCTTGTTCAATCAAGCCAAGTTCCTCGCGTTGAGATTGATTTAGTCTGTTTTTGACACTATAAGACTCCCGGAGACGTTCAAGGGCGAGAATCAACAACTTAGTATCATGCTTGTAACTTAACGGGGGGAAAGGAATAGGTGAAAAACGCCTACTTTCCAACCAATGCACAGTTGTTGTATAGATAGCCACAGCTTCCTCTGCAGTTACGTAGGGACCATCCTGAAAAAAGACAAAACGAATGCAGAAATATGGTTTGAAAAACTAGATTTTTAAAAATCTACACATGAATAATGAATCAAATGCAAATAATTTGCATAAAGGTATCTATTACTTCAATTGTTATTTAATATCAAAAGGTTTGCTCACTTGCTTATTACTTAGCATTACATTAAAGCAATTTGTGAGCACTAGACAAGAACGAAACATACCTTAAGATAGTTATGCTGTCGCTCCTGCTCAGCTTTAAGGTAGAGTCGCGTTAGGCGACCCAGATTCTTTTTACAAACAGTTTTATCAACAGTTGCACCTCGTCGAATGCGTTCTCGATTATAATGAGCTGTATTTGTCCACCAGTCAGCCTTGGCTTTAACGTAACGTAAAATCATATTTTCAATGGGCATTGGCATGTTTGGTACCTAAATGAATGGAGGAAACAGGTAAAATGTAGCCGTCTGATTAGTTGAAATATCATAAAGTAGTAAAGTTAATCTTAACCAGACTAAAATGGATTCCATAAAAGTGTTCAATTGTTACATTGAAATATCTCATATTAGATGACTAGTTCTGCTGCAGGCAAAAGTATACGTATTTTTAGAATTCTGGAAATCGCACATCATGATTGAAATATAGCTCATAACTCATAAATCAAGCAAAAGTTTTTAGGCTGGCACTGGGATGCATTTGAAATTATTAAAATGGTTTAGTACAAACCTAAACTTGTGATCTAGTTACAGTGCTTTTTCAATACATCGTTAACGCTTATTTGGGTCAGTAATCTCACAAATCTCTTGACGGATACAAACTGAAGTAGGAACTAGAGTGAAAGGTTCAATGATGGTTAAAAAGAAATCCTTAAGTATCCATCGTAAGACATCTAATTGATGCTAATGCAGTGAGAGTGAAAAATTTAATAAATATAACTAAAACATGGATTACTTACTTTCCAGGGAATGTTGGCTTTCCAGCAACGCCAAGCTTCTCCTAAGTGTTGTAAAATAGTCCTAGCTTTGTTTTGCTTGATACCTTCGGGCATCATATCCAATATATCATGCATAACGGCGGCGCGCAGTTCCAAGTCATAGTGAGACTCAACTCGTTGTTTAGTAACAGTTTTGGCAACACCCTTGGAATGCCTCCCTTCGAATTGGCGTGACAAGAGATTTCCTAACCAACGTTCCAGTAATGGTGTTATGCCGCGCATGAAGAACAACCATACTCTCCATCCCGGTGCCCAAAACCCGACACCTGGGCCTTTACCCACTGGCCCAGTGTTGAAACGGTAGTAAATTACATGTTTCAAGTCCTTGCACATCCTAATCTGACGCATAAGTTTATACTTGTAACGGTACATTCCCGTTAACTGTCCGACATGTGAGAAGATATACTGGAGACCATCTGCTAACTGAAAATAAAGGGAAGCTATTACTAATAAAGATTTCCAACCATATCAGTTTTTAAATAATGAAAGAAACGTGCATCAGTTTTGGCAATGTCCTAGAACAAAAATCGATGCTGAAAGCTACAGCCAAAGATTTCTGTACTATGTGGTCCACATTATGACCACATTCCGGACCCCTGCGTTTTCATCACAACAGCGATAATATTAATAAGTACTTAGCTTACAAGGATCCCAATAATAATCAGTGAAACAAAATATAAAATTACCTGGAAAGCATCGACGTTTCCCAAGCGATATTGGACATGGCTATCTACAATAAGCTTTGTTAAGCGAAGTATCTCTCGGCAGAGGTGAAAAGCATTACCGAATCGTGATTTCTTTCTTTCCTTGGTAGTTAGCGTTTTCACTGGTTTTAAGTTGAAGTTATAATCCAAATGCAAATAATTAAGATTTTTTCGATGAATGAGAAGGTTAAGCATGTTGTATCCCTGACGGCACACTTGTAGTCCAACCTCAACCCAATCCAAACTAGTAATTTGGAAGAACTTAGTAGCTTTGAACGAACGAAACAAGTAACGTTTCTTCTGAGGTTTTGGTCGACGATGGTGTAGGGCATTAAGGACAAAATACTTTAGTAGCTTTTGATACGAAACACGAACCTATGGGAAGAAAGAGTGAGTGGCAAAGTAGGCTTACTTTCACAGGCATGCCAGAGGGACAATGTTCTCTGTACCAAGCCTTGACCAAAGGAATATCAATAGCCCGTCTTGTAGACCCTGATCTTAGGCAAAACGGTCTTGGAGCCCACAAAAGAGCAATTCCGTTTGCTGTGTTATCACTGTACAGAGGAGTTTCAGATAGAAACGGCTGGAGTCCTTCAGGAAGTTCATACGTTTCATCGTCTTCTGGTTGTAATTCTGGGCCCTGTAAAGGAATTTAACGAAAAACGGATGAATCTACCTTTACACCTTGTCTTTGGGATATAGGGTTGATCAAAGGATCGAAATAAAAGGCTGGGAGATCAGGATCTTCAGTTTTAATGAAAAGCACATTAGGAGTATGATACCAAGATAAATGCACTTGAAATGGATAACTGTTATAAAGATAAGGGAACGCTATTCGGTATTCAGTACGAATAGGTTGACGAATGATGATCTTGTTAATATCATTAAATTCATTCCAATCTTCATCCCTATAAATCAAATAATTAATGAAAAAACACATTACTCTAAAGTCTTGTCTTTGACTAAGGGTTCGAACTTCGGACCTCCGGGAAGGGCGACATTCAGAGCTTTAGCCGTGAAAAATGACTTGAGGTCGAACAAATAAAAGTAATTGTCATCGACAAGGTCAGTCAATAAAGAGTTGGCCAAACGATAGAGGTTGGACATTATGTTTAGAGGCAGATTCCAACGTCGGTAAGTGATACCGTTGACGTATCTACAAAGAAAAAGATATAAGTGAATCCTGGGGTTATCCATACTGATAGTGTGTATATTAGAAAAATGTTATATAGATGATCGATGTCCACTTTCAAATCAATCGTACTTTGGTATACAGTAATCAGTACGTCTAACTCATCCTAAGAATCCTACAATGCATTGAACATAGTATTGAATAAGGCCATTATTACTATTATTTGTGGAATTCTTTTACACGAATCAGTGTTTATAGCTTTTACCAAGTTCATTTCATTAGCTTTACGTGGCAAGTTCCAGCGAGCGTTATAATAAAGAAATAACAGTTTACTGTAATTATACAACCAGTGAGTCAGTCAGATGCAACGTAGAACTTCGTACGTAAGTACATCAGTTCATGTCGCCATACCACATCAGCACAGAGATGCAATTGTCAATTCAAATCCAATAGTAGAAGAGGTAGTAAAGGTATTAGGAGTAATCGGAGAGGTTAGGATTAGAAGATATTATTCAAGAAGTATGATTCAGTGAGAAAAGTCTAGAAAGTCAAATTTAGAGTTGTTGAAGAACCCAGAAGGTTAGGATTTGAGAGAACACAAAGAATAAATGCACCGGCGCCATTGCAAACGATTTTGAGCCATATCATTCAAGGTCTCTAACCATCGATTGTTATCATCTCGCGGACCCCAACCATGTAGTCGACAATTACCGACATGGCTAAGTCCACTCGTCAATGACTTCATGGATTTATGCCATGTTTTGATTTGGCCGCCCCTAGCTTTCTTCCAACCTATTCCTACACTACAAAACAAAGCTCGACGAGGCAGTCGGTGGTTGGGCATACGCAACACATGTCCCAACCACCTCAACTGATGATGTTTCAATACTTCATCGATTGATCTGCCATTCTTACCTAGCACCCGATTCCTAATAACAGCATTGCTCACTCGGGTGTCCCACGATATACGAGCAATGCTTCGAAGACACCTATGATCGAAAACCAGTAACCTACGAATATCTTCTACTCTCCTGGCCATGTTTCACAGCCATAAAGTAAGACGGAGCGAACCACTGCGCAGTACACTCGTCCTTTAGTCAGCAAACGGATATCTTGCCTTCGCCATAAGCGACGCAGGTTGGCAAAAGTCAATCGAGCTTTCCGTATCCGTGCTGAGATTTCATAAATCACCAGGCCATCGGCACTGATGAGACTCCCAAGATAAGTGAAGCGGTCTACACGTTCGACTACTTCACTCCCTATCACTAGTTCAGGTGCCGATGAAACCCAATCTTGAAGCAACATTTTGCATTTCGAGGGGGAAAACCGCATACCGAACATGCTTACATTGTTGCTTAGGGTGGTCAGAAGACTGCATTTTGTCAGCGTCTTCACCAAGTAGGACTATGTCATCGGCATATTCTAAGTCAATAAGCCAGCCACCTGGTAGAAGGTCTACTCCTGAAAATTCAGACGAGGATAAGGTTATTTCTAGGAGCATGTCTATGATAAAGTTAAACAAGAATGTAGAGAGTGGACATCCCTGACTAACACCACTTGAAGTGAGGATTTCCGATGACAGTTCGCCATAAGCTCTCACTCGACCAATGGTGTTCGAGTAGAGAGCTTGTATAAGGTTAATGTACTTCTTTGGTACACCTTTCAATGACAGACACTGCCACAGAACCTCACAGTCGACAGAATCAAATGCCGCCTTAAGGTCCAGGAAAACAACTATTGTAGGACGCCTAAATGTGTGTGTGTTCCGGGACCTGTCGTAGTGTGAAAATGTGGTCTAGACAATCACGTCCAGGTCGAAAACCAGATTGGTTTTCTCGAGTTTGCTCTTCACGAGCTTTCGTTAGGCGCCGAAGTATTATTGAGGCCAATATTTTAGATACTATATTAGTTAGACTTATTCCCCTGTGATTGTCACAAGAAGACTTTTGTCCTTTCTTATAGATTGGGACAATCAGTGATTGAGACCAGTCGGATGGGATTACGTCCAGTTCCCAGATTCTACCTAAGATCTCAGTCAACCTAGCTGCTAAAACTGGACCACCATCCTTAAATATCTCAGGGGTCAGTCTATCAGCACCTGCAGCTCGTCCTCGCTTCAGATTTCTAACGCTTTTCAACTTCATTAAGACTAGGGGGACTTATGTCGATTTGCCATTCAGGATGACTGGAGATCGTGGGTAACCGAAGAGTGGCTCGAGGCCAGTTGAACTGATCCCTAAAGTGTTCTGCCCATCGATCCAGTCTCCTGGATTGAGAATAAATAATAGTCCCGTCATTTTCTGAGATAGTCTCACTTACACTAGGATTCCTAATACCAGTTTCCTTGATAAGTCGGAAAAGTTGTCTACTGTTGCCGATCGCCGCTGCCTTTTCCATCGCTTTTGCTTTCGCCACCCACCACTGTTCGCGGTCGTTACGTACATACAACCAATGACTAAGATCTCACTGCAACCAGACTAGAAACTCGATTAGTAAGTTATATATAAGTCGGATTACTTAATATCATATACACGACTCACGACCCAGCACAGGACCCGAGTATAAGTTAAAAAATACTTTACCCAACACAATTACAAGTAGTCCGCACTCAGTGAGTTCAGGGTAAAACTTGACAAAATGAAATAGCATAGTGAATAGTCAGGAAGTGTCCATCTGTTATAGTTCAGTAGCCGAGCACATTAGAGGTCAGAAACAATAACTTCTTGCTGGTATAGGATTTAGCAAATACATATGGTTTACTTGGAAGGTTAAACACACTAGTTTCCTTTTGCTTTTAACTCAAAGCTAAGAATTTCGATGTCAAATCTTTGAGTGTTTTATAACGTTTTGTTTCCTGAAAACTTTGTCGACTTCGGTTCTTTTTATATTACAAACAGTACTCTAAAAAGCACATGAATTCCAAGGTGGGTATGGCTTTTTAGAAACTAACGAAACATATTGGTGACGAAAAAAAATACAAGAATGGTTTGTTTTGTTATAGCTTGTCTACTCAAAACCCCAAACGAGAGTTACGAATTTAGTGTACATTTATTACAATTTAGTAGCTAGCGACTGATCCATATACCGAACATCTAGTTACGCCAATGACGAAGACTTGAACCTATGGGTACATAGTTACAAACTACGTGTTCAAAACATACCACACCACAACCAATAGGTTTTAAGAATCTGCAATAACTAAAATAGGCTTGTTAAGCACATTTGATAGCAACCCATTACTAGTGAATCCTAACTAAGGGTGTTATTCAGGGCTAGTACAAGAACGAGGTTCAGTTCCTTAGAAGTGACAAAAAGTGGAGACCGTGGACGCATTTTGATATGCTTCAGTGAGTTATATTTACAGACCCTTCACCTTCTTGAAACTTAATTAGACCACCTGTCTGACCGATTTCATGACTCAGTTGTAGTAAGTCGGTACACTAAACTGCAAAACTAAAAAAAATCAAAAACCTAATTGTAGAATCAGCCGAGTCTAAGCAAGAACGATACTTGGGACATTTTATAACTGTTTACTACATATTTTGATGATACTATCTATTGAACAATGATTTTTTATCATAGACAACTTTAATGCAAAACAACAATCTCTGTAACTTTAGGGCGAAAAATCAGTGCTCACTAGTGACTAGCTTTTTAAAGGAAATTCTCGGAGTTCTACTGAGGAGCAGTAATCATTGTAGTTTAACGCTTTCGGGTGTAGGCAGTAACTATCGGAGACAGTGGGTGAGGTTGCGCAAAATCCTTAGACATTAACACCGTCGGATGGCAGCTTAGTGGTATAGAGGTTAAGCATTCGCATGAGAAACCGATGGCCCTGGGCTCGAGCCCTGCGAGCGGAGGTTGCGTGCGAGGACGAAACGACCATCCAGTGGTTCCAGGCAATGATTTATTCATTTTAATGTAAAACAATAGTTATGACAACTGACAAACATTTCATGACCATGTTTAGGAAGCGATCATCAGCAGTGAACATGTCGGTGTTACTAAGTTGTTAAGTGTTTCTGAAAATTATAGTATAAACCTAAGCATGTAATACAGGTTCGTAAACACTTCGTTAGGGTTTAGACTTATTTAATGTAGACGGTCAGAAAGCCTAACATGCGAACACAGCATTGGCAGTCAAAGTGGCAACTAAAACTAAGATATAAAATATCAAGTATTGTTGGTGTCGGTCTAAATATATACATATTAGAACATCTAAGACTTATGCACAGTACACTTACTTTGATTCTACCAAAGGATTCCTTTCGTAAAACCATTCGATTATGGAGGCGTCTTCTTCCGGATCTAACTCCAACTGTATTGGTTCTAGAGGCTCTACATCAAGTATATTATCAGCATAATCAAGCGGAGGCTCTTCGTCATCAAAAGGTGGAAATCGCATGCGTTTGAAATGGCGACGATCCCTTTTTTCCCGACGCATCATGATCCACATACTACCCCACTGAGCAGCGTATATCGGTTCAACAACCCATGGTATTTCGTTGACAAATGTAATAGCCCCGGTAATATGGTACAATACCTTCACATCTCTGATTTGTTCCCATGGCATTGGCATGTTCTCTAGCAACTTCAACACTGCATGTGGCATGTATTTCAGTGCACCCAGATAAACACGCTTGTCGTGCCTAAACTTTCTGTTGGTCATGTCTCCATGGTCTCTGATGATCTTACGAACATGTTCTGGTGGCATTTCATCTTTCTGAGTTTCTACGAAGCCGAATTTGCGTTTTTCTGAAAACTTCTTAGATTGAAGTTGCTGCCATTCTCGAGCTAAGATGAGAAAGACGTCACATTAGTCATACGAAAATTATTCTCTAATCAACAGAATAAACACTTACCTTTTGCAGATGGCAACATTTTCAAGTGTAAGCCAACCGAAAAGCTAAAATACGTAAGCGCGCCTTGGTTGGTCACTGACCCACTTAAACGAAGGCTCAAAATCCATCTGTCACTTCGACATGGTTCTCTCAACTAACCATTGGTATCTTTTAGATTGTTGGATAAGTGAGATAAGGTTCTCCAAATGTTGAGACATTCGAGTCTTTACTCCGATTCAAATAAAACTATTTGTAACACCAAACTTGAAAATTTACTAAGATATTCAGCCCAGAACTTTGTTGTTTCGACTTCAGTCTCAAAAGGACAGGCGGTTGCGTGGCCTGTGTTAGTCCTGGCAGTTTTGGTCTTTCGGCGAACCCAGTTTTCTTTAGAACCCGTCTACCGAATGAGATCCAGTCGTGCTGAGGAAACTAATTCAATTCATTGACGATTCAGTGGGAATGTCGATAGCAAGTAATTTTTTCTAGGCTTGAGAACTTTTTTAGACTGTAATCATGAATTTTGCTTTCGAGAATGAGGAAAATGAAGGTATGTTGGCTGCAAATTTATCGTAAAGCTGAGAATGTCATGGATATTCAGAGTTTGACGACGCTTTTGTCCATTACATCTTTCAGAATAAGAATACTTAAAGCCAAGTCAAGCCAAAAGCCAGGAAAGAGTACTATTGAATATTTATTTGAAACATGGTTGGGATATCGAGAAACAAGTGAAGTGAGCACTCTAGTTTATGCTATGAAATACGTTGCACGACGTAAAGCGACTGGGTGTTAACGTGTAACCGAACACCTTCAGCTAGGGTGTATCCACTAAAACTCATGGGCTCAGTGTCAATATGGAAGACCTAAAGAACTATTTGTTTTTGTTTTATTTCGGATCCGCTTCAACGTAATTTAAAAACTTTGATCCAGTCACCGCTGGTCCTTCCGTATCACATTAGAAATAGGTAAATTTAGCCAATCTGTCTTCATACATCGGCTTTTTGATTCTGGAAGTCGACTTAGTTGAGGTTCTTTGAACATTTTTAGACGGTTCACTTCCAGTTTATAGTCGGAGGTTGGCTTTTTGCTCTGCTCTGAAGTTTAGGACTGAATCAAAACGTTTTAAAGGTCATTACACCTCACTGTACTGTAGTTTTGAAGTTTTAGCTATTAGTGACTTCTAGGCCATTCTACTTCTCTATAACAGGTAGCGCGATGTTATTCATTATATACTGAGCCAATCAGAAGGGACCTAATGAGACGACCGTTGAGTAACCATCTGAAATGTCCTAAAGGACGAATGGATATCGTTGGTTAAGAAGTTGCCCTATTTTCTAAGGAGATGAGTACTTCTACATAGACGATTATTTGTCCATATTATTAAGTAGTCAAGTAGACCTCTTCTGTTCTTTGTCTTCTTGCTCACGCAGCCAGTTCTGAGTGACAGTTAGAACTTATCTCTTTCAGACCTCGGCATCTCGCACCGAAATAATCCATTGTACGGGTATCTGTATCCCTTTGGGTGCCTAACTTAATTCTGACAATAATTGTTATACTGTACATCTCTCGTTTATCTGTACTAAAGACTATCTCTCGCGCGCCATGCGTGTTATTCCCAGTCTCCTCTTCGCACGTCTCCTGCGTGGACGTTAGCTGTTTGTACGCTGTCTTGCCTCGATATTATTTCGATATCACGAGTGTTACGGGAGGAATGAAGACATTTGGCTGATTAAAACCTTTATATAAATATCATTAATTTCACTGTGTTTTTTGGGTATATTTGTTTTACTTAACTTATGAACTTGTTTGAATTATTATTTTCGGACATTTCTGGACTCCTGTTTGTCTTGGTTGTTCGTTTGCAGTTTTTTGCTCCAGGAATCTATAAAATTGAAGGTAATTGTAATTATTATAATTCTTGTTGTTAGAACGACATTGGTCGTCTATTTGTAATAAACGAACTACATTTTGGTCGATTATTGTGAATTAAGCATAAACTTTGGTACCTAACTTTGGAATTTGGTTTTGCTTTGATTTGGGATCGTAAATTGCAAATAGATCGGCATACCGTACTTCTAAGGATCAAGGAGCAAAGAATTGGACGTAACAACGAGGCCAGTATAAAATATAATTCTTCCTCTAGAATCTGTTTCTTCCTTGATTCTTTGATTCCTTGGAGTAACAATTGTTCTCCCGCGAAGAAGTATATCATACGAAATGCTATAAACCCTTAACCCGTATAAGTTGCCCCCAGTCTTTATACCACTTATTATTTTGATCTTGCCTGAAACATGGCATGCCTCATGAAACGCATCCTCATTTGAGAACAAATTATTATCATTACTATTCTTTTGTAGATGATGGCCCTCATGGTTCTCCAAGTAGAATAGTAAAGCCGTTTTAACATTTGTATTAAAAATTATGAAAAGCAAGGAAGGCAAAGTAATCAGCAACACTGAAGAACAGTGAAATAGGTGGGTAGAGCACTTTAAGGAATTCCTAAATCGACCAGCTCCACTGAACACACCCAACATCGAAGCAGCATCCATGGACCTCCCAATTAATATTGACGCACCTACAATTGAGGAGATCAGTATGGCCATCAGACAAATCAAGACTGGCAAATCAGCAGGACCAGACAACATTCCAGCAGAGGCAATGAAAGCAGATGTAGAAGCAACTGCGAAAATACTTCACATCTTCTTCAAGAAAATATCTGGAACTCCAAACAACTTTCGACAAAAACCAAAATCAGGATTTTCAATACAAATGTCAAGACAGTTCTACTGTATGGAGCGGAAACTTGGAGAACTACCAAAGCCATCATCCAGAAAATACAAGTGTTTATTAACAGCTGTCTACACAAAATACTTCGGATTCGTTGGCCAGACACCATCAACAACAACGTACTGCGGGATAGAACAAACCAGATTGGAGTGGAGGAGGAAATGAGGAAGAAGCGGTGGAAGTGGATAGGACATACTTTACGGAAAGCACCGAACTGAGCCACAAGACAAGCCATCACTTGGAACCAGCAAAGTGAAAGGAAAAGAGGAAGGCCAAGGAACATTACGCCGAGAAATAGAGAAAGGTATTAGAAGAATGAACGAAAATAAGACAGAATCGGAAAGGGAAGCCCAGGACGGAGTTGGCGTGTATATATATATATATATATATATATATATATATATATATATATGTATGTATATATGACAGTTGTTCTGAGTTCCAGATGTTTTTCAAATGTAGAAATACTGCTCTTGCTTTGCTAACCTGCATCTTCACATTTGAATCAGATGCGCTTTGTCTATTAATGATGCTGCCCGAATACTATCGTGGTCCGCGATGTGGCTGCTCGAAATTCTACCGATTGGCGAACCTAAGATATTCTAGTACAACTGCCTAATCTGATTCCCGAATCCTCAGTATATCAGAACTCAGGTGAAAATTGTTTATCGGGTCAGAATACAGCCTAGAACTTTACAGGCGATGCATATTTATACAGTTAGGACGACCGTAAATACTGACCAATAGGAAACGACATGTGAAATGTGTGAAAAGTTTGAAATATATGAAAAGTGTGAAAACATACGACAGAAATAGACTTAACAGAACAATTTTCGGGATATTTTTATGAATATCTTAACAATTTCGTGAAGGTTTTCGCATCTCCCGAAGCTTCTTTGTCAAGTGGCCATACTAGCAGTTGTCATCTTCAATTGTTGGTGTGTGTGGGCCAGGGGAGCGGGGTCCAGATAGTAAAGCTGTACCCTAGCTGTGCTCCGACAAACCTCCTGAGACTTTAAAGAAGCCGAAAGCTTTCCGTTCAATCACGGCTTGACAGAACTTATAATGCCGATGTCTCATGAGGTGATTAGAAGATGGTTTAATATTACTATTTGCCGATTGGATGATTTCAGTGATGTCCTCATTCTACGCGGAAAACCATAATTAAACTTAGTCTCTCTATACAATTTGACACTTACCACAATGAAGGTTTCTTCTGTTCTGTTCCAGCTTTTGATATGCAATCTAGGGGGAGTTCCGTTAAGTTTAGTGCCGAAGGTTGTATTTTGTATTGGTCGTATCCAGTAGCAGACATCCCACCCTTGAATGTTGTTGTCTTCAAAATTAAGTCAGCAACCAGAAGAAAGAGAAAGGGTGAGAGTGAAAAACATTGCCGTATAGTGGCCTTTACTGGGAATAAATTCGTCAGCTGTTCTCAGTGAACGATTTAGCTCCTCGTTACCTGCTTGTTTGCTGCTGTGTCTCAAGCCTGTGCCTAGGTTTTATCTGCTCTTGTTCAGCTATTCTAGGTTGTCGTCTTCCCGTTCTTATTTCTTGAGTCTGATCCAGAGTATCGACAGAGATCCATTCCTTGTGATGACGATTCCTGGTTCTGCAAACAGATTGTGGAAGGTCTGCAGCAAGTTGCTGAGAGATATGTTGAATCGGTTGATTTTGCCACCTTCCCAATGAAAAGCCATAGAAAATTAAGAGGACAAAGTTACCTGATAATAATCAGGATAATGAAATACCAATTGAATTGCTAGCTACAGTACCTTTATATTCCAGAAGACTTTAAGGCTTATTTCGTCATTATTACTTCTACTAGTGGAGTTCCTAGCTCGCATATTTCAACCGAAAAGGTCGGAAAATGCCTTTTAATTGTTATCTCATTCTCTTTTCTAATGCTGTGTAAATTATAACATCGTGTTCATATCTTTTATGATTATTCTATGATCCACATGGAGTACTTTTAGTATCATCGAACAAACCACGTAAGGTGTATAATATTGTTCAAGAAACTTTATGATTGATTTTTACTGAAGTGAACAAAGTATTATGCTGTGAAATTTGAATAGAAAGTTCAAGCTCCCCAAAAATGGAACGATTAACACATGCATAGATTACTCGAAATTGCGGATTTCAAGCACCAAACCACTCAAGATTTGATGTAATGTTTGCTAGAGGTGACAATATTCATAATGTTTTTGTTCTTGTAGATCCAAAGATATGCGAATGTTTCCAGATATATTCGGAAAACAGTATCACCAAGTGTATCTCGTAGAAATCTCAGTAAACATCTTTTTGTT